CCGCGCGGCTGCCGTTCAGCACCGCGGACAGCGTCGCACCCGCCTGCGCTGCCGCAGCTCCTGGGCGCGGCCCACCAGGCCAGGGAGGCCAGGCAGCGACCAGGAGCTGCCCCGCCTAGCCCGGGCTCTGAGCTTCCCTGGCGCACGTGACCCTGAGCGTCTGCGGGTCCCTGGGGAGTCCCTGGCTGCTCAGAGCGGCCTCTCGCCCACCCCCGCGGGTGCGGGAGCTGGGCCTGAGTGGCTGGGTCCAGGCGACCCATGCAGCAGGACCCGGGCCCCCCATCTCCCTGGGAGCAGGTCAAGCAGCGTCCTGAGGATGACTCCTGGAGGGTCCTGTCCTCCAGGCACCGGGGCCTCCTTGCCACCCGCCAGTCGGCCACGCGTCCTGGGGCTTCCCACAGCCTCTGCTGCAGACCCTCCTGGGTAGGCCTGGACTGCTCTTTCTTCTTTCTTTCTTTTTCTTTCTTTCTTTCTTTCTTTCTTTCTTTCTTTCTTTCTTTCTTTCTTTCTTTCTTTCTTTCTTTCTTTCTTTCTTTCTTTCTTCCTTTTTTCTTTCTTTCTTTCTTTCTTTCTTTAGGGAGTGTGCGCTTGCTGGAGAGAGAGACAGGGAAATGGGAAAGTGAGACATCAGCCCCCCCAGAGGGCCTGCCACACCACAATCCCTCTCCATTCCCCTCTGGGATCTTGGGCACGCACAGAAGCCTGGTGTGAGTTTCAAGCCACCTGTTGGGGACTCTAACGATGGTTGGGCATGTGGGAGCCCAGCAGCTCCAGGGCCGAGATCAAGGCGATCTCCAGGAACCCTCCCGGGAGGCCAGGTTGGAGGAGGAAGCTAGTGTAGCTGCCCTGGATGGCTCGCCCTCTCGGAGATGGCAGCAGGACACCCTCAGATCACTCCAAAAGCCGGCCACTCCCCATGTGGAACACCAGGTCCTGGGGAGCGAAGCTGCGGTTGGAGCAGGGTTCGTGGGAAGGGTGTCTGGGTGGAGGACGGAGGTCGGCTGTGCCCTACCAGGCGCCCCTCCCACCGCCTGCCCTCGGCACCCGCCTTGCCAATCCTCATGGTGGGTTCTCGCCAACCTGCCTGCGCTGGACCTGGCCCTTCTCTGTGGTTAAAGAAACAGGGAGGTCGAATCGAGGACATCTCCAGGAGGCAGATGGGCTCACGCTAAGAGGGGAACCTGCTAATATTCTAAACTGAGAATCCATTTACCAGCGGCTCCCGGGCGCCAGGACAGGGCCGTGGCCAGCAGCTTCTGTGGGAGCCGCGCCAACCCGATCTTGCCTCACCGGACTTGGGTTCCCCCTTCGAGCACTACGAGGCACATAGGGACCTCTGCAGCTCTTAGGTCCCATCGTTCTGTGACTCTGAGGTGTGCCCGTCCCTCGTTGTGACACTCCATGTGCAGACCAGGCAGTGAGAGTGTCTGTACTCATTACTGAGCACGCAGACCCGGGGCATCCTCTCGCCAGTGTTCACTTCAGCCTTTACTGGCCACCTTCCCATCAGAGTACAAGCCAGGGCCTCCGAATGAAAATGCATTTAGCCTTTAAGAAATTAAATAAGAATAAATTAGGGGGAGAAGGCACAAAATTGATTCAAATTTTTTTCCTTTTGAAACACTTTTTGAAAAATTCTCAAGAATGAATAATTAGACAGAAGTTTACTCTTCAATTATCTTCTCTTTCTTTTTCTCCTCAATTCACTTTTTTTTACTAGAAAAATTTCAACTTCCTGGGAAGTAACTGAATGAATCAGAGAACAGGGGAAAAGGGTGATGCTGAAAGTGAAGGTCAACATAAATCGAATTTCAAGAGACCGAAAGTATTTCAGAAATAACTTTCATCTTAGCCTATGTTGAAGTTAAGGACAGATATGAATTCAAAATTGACCACATTCTATAGAAACAAATAAGAATTTGTCAAATTATAGAGCATTTTGGGGCCAGCAGTTAGCGTAATGGCTATGTCGCTGGACTCCCACGTAGTCGACCGCGGTTCGAGTCCCGGACCCGGCGGCTTAAACTCACGCCAGGCACGTGTGCGTGCGTGCCCAAGATCCCGAGAGGAGAATGGAGGAGAAGGGATTGCGGCATGGCATATTTTTAAGCACAGAATTCTGTCAGTAGAACTGTGATACCTTTAAATCGACTGAAAGGAACGATTGCAAACAAATAGAAACATCTCGGACTCATTTTTGTATGTCTAGAACTCTATTTCTGACACTCGGAAACCTCCTGTTTGAAGAACGTCCATCTGCACTGATGGATAATAAAATCAACGCTGAACATTGTGGCGAGGCTGGGCGGCAGCTTAACAGCCTTCGCCAGGAAACCGCTCCTTTCTGCCCTCTGGTGGGCAGGCCCTTTTCTGCCCTCTGGTTGTCAGGCTCGGCAGTTATCAGAAACGTCAGCATTAAAAATGATGGTTTAAAAGTAGAGGAAATAAACAAAGACGACCCACCCTGTGAATTGTCTGGTCAGTCGGGGACTCAGCTGTTGCCATGGTTTTCTCTGTGTGCTTTGCATGTAATTTATAGCATCAAGACTAGAAATAGGTGTTACAGGTAAGATTTCAGTTTCAGAGAATAAGGATTTTAAATACACTTACCCATTCTGCCCTGTTTTCTGTCATGTTTTGTAATTACAAAGTTGTGCATAAAGAAGTGACTGTGTGTGTATGTCTGTGCACATGGGTCTCTGTGTGTGTGCATGTGTGTGCATGTGGAGAGAGATCGGTGAACCTCTGTGTGTGGACTTTATTAACAAGATTGGACCTATGGGGGCGGGGGAGGACGGTTCCTGCTGCGGAAGCCTGATGTGGAGTGTCACCCACCGCCTTCCCTCTTCGCCGTCTGGAACTGTGAAAATGTGAACGTCTGAAGCAGTTGGGCATGCCCCAGCACGGAGAGGAAGGAGAGAAGAGTCCGCTCTCCGGGGAAGACGGCCGGTGCCAGCTCCTGCAGAGGGACCCGCATCAGAGCACGAGGCCCTGTTGGTGCAGACGGGGAGAAGACGGAGGGGATGGGAGGAGTGCAATGACTTGCTCAGGATTGGAAGTGGAGAGAGGACTCTTCGGGAAAGCCTTGGTTCTCATGACGAGAGTAAAACTAACGCGTCATTCAAGTTACGATGATACACTTCTCTCCGCCTAGCGTAGTTGAAGTCATTGATTCGGTGAGTTCATAATCCTACAATATATATCTACAGCTAGGACTTTATAATTTTAAAAAATAAACGGAAAGTTCAAAAATGAAGCAAATAGAATTTTCATACGAGGTAGCGTCGCGGCTTTGGTTATATCATTTCAGTCGACTTCATTCTGTGGACAGCAACTTGATACCAGAAGCTGTCACGAGAGCAGAGCGTCTGTCATCAGGGACCGCACTGTGCATCTGTCTGGGGACGCTGTGCCCCATGGGCCACACAGACACGTGGGTGTGGTCCTCTCACAGCTCCTATGTTCGAGACCCTGTGCTGAGGCCCTAGCCCTGTCCCACGGTGATACCTCAGCCCTGCAGGGGAGGGCCGCCGCTGGTGCAGTCTGGGCGGTGAGCAGGTGAAGGGCGGGGACTCAGCAGAGAGCACCTCTGAGACGGGTTCAGGAATTACACAGTGGGGGCTAGAATGGAAACGGGGAGGAAAGCGAGACTAGGGAGAGCGAGACTCAGTGAAGAACCGGGTTTTACCTGACACCCTGGAGGAGGTGACATCTGACGGTGTGCATTTGCCATAATATTTTGGAGGGGATATATTTAAAAGGGATTATTTTGAAAGCAAAAAGATTATTTTTCATAAAAATGGTAACAAAACAAGAAAAAGACACATATACACACGCACACACAAATATATACGCACACACATAAGACAAAACAGACTCAAAGTAATAAACTTCTGACTGAAGTGCATTAGGTAATTATAAAAGAATTTATCGACCAGAGAGATATAACAATTAAATGTATATTCACCCAACAGCAGACATACAAATACGTAAAACAGACAATAAGCTGTTAGTAGGAGATGTCTTTCTTTCGCACTTCCCCTCTGTGTCTCTCCTGTGAGCACGCGTGCCCCGTGGGAAAACATAATAATAATAATAATAATAATAATAATAATAAAAAATAAGGAACAGAGTGGAGAGCCCATAAATAAATTTACTACAGGGTGATTTTCCTCCAAGGTTCCAAGGACAAGTTTGGGGAAAGGACAGCCTCTCCCATAACACTCTGTGTCAGTCTGAACAGAAGAACAGCCTGACTCAGGAGACACATTCCTCATGTGAGCTCACAGAGGGACAGCCACGGGCCTGGCAGTTTCCCTTCGTCCCCGGGATGGGTCAACTAGACCTCTGGAGGCTGAGAGCCTCTGATGGGCATCCGCGAACAGGACGAGCTCCCTAGCCCCAGCCTCTCTCCCATCTTCCGTCCCTGGTGCTCCAGTTTGGCCTGTGAGTCCTCCGCAGCTGGACAGCCCAGGAGTCAGCGCCCACAGGTCCCCATCCCTGGTCCAGGTCACCTTCCACTTCACACACAGCTGCAGGCGTGCCGTGCCCATCCAGGTTACCACGTGCTTCGCGGCTGCTCCCGGAAAGGCCTCGCGTGGCAGTGGTCACGCACGGCCGCTGCTCCTGTCATCCACACGGCCGCCTGTCCGCCCTCCTCCCTGCACCAACAGGTAATGGGAGCTTCCCCGTAGACCAGGGGGTCGAGTGAGAGGGCGTGAGGGCATCTAT